GATAGATTTTACTATGCAAATATTTTTCAGATTCTACATATCAAAAGACATACATATCAAAAATGAAACAAAAGGCAATGAATATTGATAAAATTTTTATGTGAAAGATTAATTTTTATGTGAGATTAATATGCACAATGCATATTTATGCATAACAAGTGTGATAAAAGTGAGTATAAGAAAAAGATGTACAACCTGATAAAATAGATAAATTGAAATGTAAATTGCTAAGACAGAAACACAAATGGCCAACTAACAATTGAAAAATGCCCAGTCACACTGGGAAACAAATACCAAAAGAGGCAATAAAAGAACAATCACATTATCATTTTATTAAAAAGAGTAAAAATCAAAATAAGTAATTATACCTAGAAAACCAGACATTTTCATGTATTACCTGAACCATAACATGATGTAACATTTCTGCAAGGCAATGTGTGTGTATGCATGTGCACGTGTGCTCACATGTGTACACACAGTGTTTTTTGAGGGAGTCATTCTTCTAGGAATATGTACAAACAAAATAGAGGCACAGAAGTCCATGAGTTCAGGAGCCTCAGGCCTGATCCCTCTTGATCCTGTGTCAGGAAAGACAAGGCAGACAGGCCTAGGGGAATCTGGGGGATGTCCCTGAGAACACAGGATCTTCCTGATTCTTAGTTAAGTCTACATTCCTGAGGCCAACAGATAGCAGAACTTCAGAGAGATGCTGTATTATAACCCTCTTCATCTGATCAGTTAATACTCTTGAGGTTGCATAATTTATTAGTCAAAGAAAGATGAAGACTATTTCCCAGAATTGTGATTAACATTTGTTGAGAGATTACTGTGTGCCAAGCACTATTCTAAGCAATTCACTTGTTAAAACATTTGCAGCCTGGCAATAACTCCATGCAGGAGAAACCATTAGTATCATTATTCTACAGGCGTGGAAGCTGAGGCTTAGGAAGAGTTTTATTCTTGTCTGTTAGGTAATTTTCTTTCAAGGCCCACTTTACTGGCTTATTGTGTTAGCTAGTGCACCTAGATTTATTGCTAAATACTAAGGGCACAGTTCTCATACTGTGGGCTCTGACCTTATCTACTTCTTTGTACCTAATAACTGAAACTTCAGTGCCTAAATAGTAACAGTGGCTGGTATTATTGAATGTAGAGACAGTAAGCTAAACTTAAAACCCTGAACCTGTGAGTGTCTGAACACTAACTCTGTTACATAAATGAGCACTCCATCTGTACAAACTATCTCACATTTCGTCCAATTCAGTATGGCTTAATCAATTATATATGAAGGGCCTTGGGCTTCACTTTCAGGTTTTATGAATGACTTTATTGGAATTCATAGCAGCTTCTGGATCATTTAACTCCTACAAAATACTGAAACTGCCTTCAATTGTACATTTCTATACCCCATCCTGGTTGTGCAAAGGATGTGTTTCATGAAAGAAAATTTGTATTGTGTAAAAGAGTTCAACAATTTTGCAAACAACAAATGAAGAGAATCAAACCTGTTCATGTTTCTGGACATGTATTTACACAGAAAAAGCTCAGTTAATTTTATGCCACTTATAATACTGTGAGCTTTAACTTCAACAATGTTTGTTCTGCAGAGACGCATTCAAATGATGACAGTTTGGCACTTAACTCAGCACACACACATACTCATCAAAAGATTTTCTCAGACAAGAATTTTCATCTATAAAACCTTCCTGGCTATGTCAGTTTGCCTGAGTCCTCCAAATGTGTTATTTAGAAAAGAAGAGTTTCCACTTCTTAGTGGCTTTCAAGCATTTTAGAATAAATCACCACAATGATTCATGAGCCTAGACTAAAAGAATTCTCTGCTGCTTTGTTCTTTGTAGTGGTGCCCTTATCAAAGGCATGCAATTTTAAGAAATTATCGTTACAGACAAAACAGCATTATCCACAGAACCAATATTAAGCATGTACTATTATCAATACACATATCATTTTAGGAATCCAGTGGTAAGATTAAGTCCCTGACTTCAGAGACTTTACTCTCCAGTTTTACAAAGATATTTATTTCCGCTTCTATTAAGTAAATTGCCACAGTCTCCTTAAGAGGGGATATGACAGCATCTTCCAGATGCACTGTGACAAGTGGGACAGATGGGAAATCTTGTACAGCAAGCTCAGAGTTCGCCTCTGATTGCTCCTGATAGAATACAGTGGCACTAAGGTCAATATGAGGACTGACAGAAAAGCTGAAAGCTTTCTTTGCATCATTAAAGGACTCCAAACAGGTGGCAGCTCTAATTTTAAACGTTAAATCAGGAAAACACTTCAAAACTCTAATAATACTTACACACTGGAGTTGTGCCATGGAGAGTCAGATGGTGCTAAGCGTGGCTGTTATTCCCTGAATTCAACTACCCCAGGGAGCAGATCATGCTCCTTACCCAGGCAGTGAACACAGACAGACACATAACAAAGCAGGCAAGTGATAATGAGGTGAGTATTACACCAGTTTGGGGACAGTAGAAAGGTGTCTGAAGGAGTTGTCTGAACTCCTGAAAGGTGTCTGAAAGAAATTTCTGGAAGGAGTGTCTGAAAGAAGTTTCCTCAGTGTTAGACTCAACATTGAAACTGCTACTATAATTTTCCTTTCATAAACTGTGGTTTTTCCATACTACAAAATGTCCATGCTATAGAATACCATGAAGTCATTACAAATAGAGAAGCAGATCTAGTATTAATATGGAAAGAGTTCCAGTATATGCTAGTGGAAGAGAAAAAAATGAGAGACATATAGTATGATACTCTTCATGGGTTGTTTTTTAGCCTCAGAAAATAATATTTCACTTCCAAATACATTTTAAAAATAGAAAATGTCCGGAAAGATGCAAACCATTTGAGCTACTACATTTCTGAGCACATGATAAGAGAACAAGATGGGAAATTTCACATTATATATAATGTAACTGGGGAGGATTATATTCATGTTATCCATGTCATTAAAATTTGATTTAAAAGAACCAAAGTAGAATATTAGGATCAAGAAACTACATGAACAATCAACATCTCACTAAAATTTAACATGAAAATGTAATAAAATTCAATGGCAAGCTATATTAAAAGTGTCAAATTCATTATAGTGTATATTATTTTTCCTTCAAAATCTTGCTAATTCTTTTTGTTAATCTAAAAAGAAAAGGGGGTTAAAAATAGACAAGTGTGAGGTCGTGAGTTCAATTCCCAGTACCAGAAAAAAACTAAAAAAAAAACTAAAAAAAAAAAAAAATAGACAAGTGAAACATCTACAATTTGTACCATTCTTGTCCATAATATTACAAACCATGGAAAATTCTAACGCTGAAACTAAACAAAAACAATAAAAACCCTAACACATTAAATATAAAATGGAGAAAAGGAGTCCTGCTATGTAGAAAATTTAGAAAGCACTAAATTAAGCTCTATTACTGGGTCTTAACACTCCCTGCACCACCGTGTCTATATAGTGAAACAGCATGAATTACAAGGCTGAGTACATCCTGAGCTCCAAGAATGGCAGGCCTGGCAGAAGGCTGAAGAATTAGATGAGGTGAACAAGTAATGAAAGAAATGCTAGGAAGGAGGAGGAAAAAAGAAGGAATAGCAAAACAAACCAAAGCAAAATGTATGCAAAATAAGGAAAAGTATAGAACAGAAAGGGCATTAGTGCCTCCTGACTTAGGGGTTATAACTGAAAATGTGTATTTGTAGAACAATTTACAAAGCATTTACTTCCACATAGATTACAGAATATAATCTTTGTAACACATGGTACTAATCCCATTTTACAGAAAGAAATGGAAGTTCTGAGAGGGCAAGAACATTGCCAAAAGCCAAACAGCTAATAAGTAACAAAACTGTGATATTTGACTTCTGATTTAGTTTCCTTTCCAGGATTCTATGGTTACCATACACTGTTTCTCAAACTGCCACTAATATTCAGAAATATAAAACTTTCTAGAAGTAAATATATATATATATATAAAATATCTACTGATAACATATAGTAAGCTATTTTCCTTCCCCTGGAACAGTGGTGGCAAACCTATGGCATGTGTGTTGTTTTTAAGACAAAAGATGTTAACGTAGAGTCGTTTTTTCTAAACTAAAACCTCAGTATTCAGGTTTAATTGGACTGTGGACACTTTGCAATAACTAAGTGGGTTTTAGGATGTAGTTTGGGAACTCACCTCTAAAGGGCTCATCATCACTTCCCTAGGAAAACTCTGGGAAAAAAATCTTGATTTGTTCTAAAATAAACAGAACAGAGCAGGAGAGAGGAGAGAGAGGGAAGGTAATATGATGTGGGGAGCACCAGGGAGTAGGAGCTTCCACACCTGGAATGGAGGGTGTGGTGGATACAGAAACCCAAACACAAAAAAACTGGATAAAATTCAAATTAATGCAAATGAGTACAAGCAAATGTGAACAAGGTCTGTGGGCTTCATCAAGCTCAATGTACCACTTGCCAGATTATATTATAGTTTGCAAATATTACCACTGGAGGAAAGGGGGTAAAGGATATACCACCTGTTTCTATGTTACAGAATAAATAACCACAATAAAAAAGTTTTAAAAAAATCAAAAATTCATACCACCAACACTAACTTTAAAACAAGACAGTGGTATTATGCAGAAACAAATACAAGAAGATACAATGCAGTCAAAGTCTTTATTGTAGTCATGTGAAGACTTCACTACACGAGAACTAAGACCTTACTCATGATATTGAAATTTTAAAAATTCCTTTCCAAGCCAGAGATGATACTTCTGACTATCCTTTGGGAGTATAAATGCCTCAAGAGTCAGTGCCATCTCACCACAGCCAGATAAATGATAAACTTCTTGTGGTGAACAAGAAGTATGTAACGATAATCCTAATCATCATGCACAGAAAAGAAATACCTTATCTTGGCACTGTGGTACACGACTTTATGATGAGAAAAGAATTATATCCAGTAATAGAAAACTGTCACTGGTACTATACTAACCTGCTTGTAAGTGCCATCCAGCAAGGTGTCCAGATGCTGGAGGGGGGCAGGTGTTTTATCTTTGAACCTTGTTAATAGCCGGCGTTCGATGGCTCGGAACTGTACAGCTCTTTGAGACAACAGTTCTTCTAGTTTTTGACCATTTAGCCGCAGCTACAAGAAAGAATGTCTTAATCTGAAGTTAAACAGAAACAAGAAAGTATGTTCAAAGCAACAATATAGGGCCTATATTATGCACAATGTTAATCAAAGTTTGAAAAAGACTAATTAAAAATTGTAAACATTTTACAAAATTATAGGAATTAAAATAATGTAGTATTTGGCATAAAAATATATAAATAATATAGTGGAAGAGATCAAATGGAAATTTAGTAAAGGTGATCTAGTTTCACCAGTGGAAAGACTGGCCATTTGATAAATGTTTTGTAATACATGACCACATGGAGAAAAAATAGGAATTTCTCCCCATTCTTCACAATAAAATCAATTGCAGAGGTAACAAAGTTTAGACACAACAAGGCACTAGAAAAATTAGAATTCTCTTTTATAATCTCAACATACAAACCTTTGTTATAAATTATAAGTCAAAAGACAAACATGCACACATACACACACACACTTGAATTTTAAAATTTTTTAAATTCCACATAGCTTAAAAATGATAAACAAAATGATAAGATAAACAGAAAAATACAAGACGGATGATAAATTATACCCATAATATCTAGAGAGCATCTAGAAATCAATGTTAAAAAGACTATAACACAACAGAATCCACAAGAAAAAGAGTAACAAGTAGAAAAATGGGCAAAATTTTATATGAAGTTAATTCAATAACTCTTAAATGTACAACCTATAATCTAGCAATCTGACTTCTGGGAATGTATCCCAGAGATGTGCTTACAAAAAGTAATGCACATAACTGTTCTATTTTTATTGTACTGATATCATTAATAAAATGCCCACCATCAGAACTGGTTAAATAAAGAGGACTATTCTTCAAGATGGGTATTAATAGACAATGCTATCCAAAGATATATGAAATAAAACAAAGCAAATAGATTCAGAAGATAACGTATCAAGTGTGTGTTTTAGCATAGCCCATACTATCTGTGTGTGTTTTAGCATAGCAGTGACTACATACGATTTGTCTAAAAAGATACATGAGATACTGAATATTAAAAGTTGCTTCAGGAAAGGAAACTTAGTGAATAGGGAATGAGAATCAGATAACACTCTTCACTGTAGTTAATTTCATTAAAACTTAATACTAATAAAATAAAAGGGCTGGCATGTAGCTCCCTGGTACAGTGCTTGCCCAGTATGCATGAGACAAGTTCCATCCTCAGCACTACAAACAAATTAATTAGTTAATTAATTTTTTTAAAAAACAAACTATTGGAATCATAGGGTAGAAGGAACATCCATGAGATCAGATCACCTGAACTACTAATTCAACTTTATGAAACTAATAAACTAGTTCAGAAAATATGATATTCAAATTGTTCAGAAATTAAACATATTATAGTTTACAATTCTGGTATCAAACTAAATTCTTATCTTTTCAACTCATGTGTTGTCCAGATACACGATAAGAATTATATATGATATGAAATTTAGACGTTTAACAACTTTCAATGCCAATTTTAGGAGCAACTGATAATATTCTCTAGAGGCAAAAACTATTATTACAAAAAATTAGATAATAAAATGAATTTTTAATAACTAAAATTTAAAAAATAATGCCCAAATTATCAATACCTCACTCTCTAACTGAATTAATTTACTGCTATAATATTTTACTTCCTGGATTTATCAAATACACAAAAAAATTAAAAAGATAATCTCAATACTCAGACATCGGCTGGGTGTGGTGGTGCACACCTGTAATCCCAGTACTCAGGAGGCTGAGGCAGGAGGATCATCGGGAGTTTGAGACCAGCCTGGGCTATAAAGTGAGCTCAAGGCCAGCCTGCACTGCATAGTGAGACCCTGTCTCAAATTGACAACAAAAAGAAAAGAAAATATTCAGACATCATCCAGGTTTATCTTTCCATTGAATGTGTAATCAGGTGGCAATGATGGAAATGTCTTCTCATGTCAAAGTGTCAATGAGTATTTCTCAATCCATAGCCAAAAACTGTTTCAGGTATTAAGAATTAGAAAAACGAGTAAAATAAACAAAATTTCATGTCTCACTTGCATGAAGGGATACTTGGACTCCAAAGGACTTTGTGACTCAAAGTTTAAAATCATAACAGCCTCAGTCCTGTCCTTCCACCGCAGTCCCTGTTCTTCCCAGGCCCAAGGCCGCTTCCTTACAACTCCCAAAAGATCTGGGGCCCTGGGGCAAGGGTTGCCACCTGCACTACAGAGGAGCAGCAGCAGCCACCTGGGAGAAGAGGAAGAGGCCTGGAGGACATAAGCATGGACAAACTGAAATCATTGCAGAAGGATGAGTTATGGCAGTTTATGATCTTTAAAGAATACAGTGGGAAAAAATGTAGCAAGTTGTCTTTCTCAAAATGACTGGAAGTTAGATGTTGCAACAAATAATATTTTGCAAAATCTTGAATTTAATACATGAGAGAGTGTAAAAGGATCATTGGACAGGAAGACAACTATACAAGATACAAACATCCTCAGGCTGAAAATGAAATTCAAATGGATGGTATACAACAATTCTGTGATAACCTGGCACTCAACCCAGCCAGCATTAGTGCTGCGATCACTGCATGCATTTCAGAAAGCAACACCATGTGAGTCTTCCTAACAGGAGTTTGTAGATAGTGTGACAGAACTAGGATGAGCCATCGGAGAAAAGTTAAAGGCTCAAATACCAAAAAGGGGACCAGAATTGAAAGAATCAGAATGGTTTAAGCATGTTTTACCAGTTTGATTTTGCAAAGAATCTAGAACAAAAAGGATTAGATCAAGAAATGGCCATTGCCTCCTGAAACTTAGTACTTATAGAAGATAATTAAATTTTGCTGTAACATCATAAATGATCAATACCAAAAGACACTTAAACTCTTTGGTTAAAATTCAGTGCAATGATCACATATGATGTGTCTAATTACAATGAAGAAGGAATGTGGGCTGTTCTTATTGATGACTTTGTGGAAATGCTATCTTCATCAAAAAATACTGTGGCTTAAGAATTAAACATAATGAACACCACAAGCAATTTATAAAAACTTCTTAAATATACGGTTTGGGCTAGTTGCAAAGACTGTGCTGATAGTACTTCCAATGACACTGATATATGTAAGTGTACCAAATCTGGAATGACGTTTTATTTTGGGGAGATTTTTTTATTCTCTAGCCCATCACATATATTGTTGATGTGAGTAGAGTATGAGATGAAAGAAATGCCAAACAACCAACACGAAAATGTTTTAGGCTAACTTGGCCCTGACCTGAAGAAAGTACTGTGTTTTAGTCTCTCACCTTCAAAAAAGTTCCACGAAAGTAGCGTGCACTTACCTTACCTATCGTTATATATAACGACACTACAGGCAGTGTGTATTTAGAAAGTGTGTATAAAGTTAGATTCTATTCTTCTCTATATTTTGTACAAGATAAATGGACTTCATTATGATTTTGAAATGCTTACATTCCTATCAAATAAGTTAAATGATTTAACTTGTTCTGAATGTTTTGAATTGTTGCATAATACAATATTCCAAATTTCTAAAATGTCTGCTTAAAGCAAACATTGAGCACATAGGAAGGGAACTATAATCATGCTCGCCTTCATCCATGTGTGTAACCAATGAAAGTGCCTGCAGTTTACCAAATTCCCCAAGCTTTACCTCAGAAAGGAAGCACCCTAAAGTGGAAAATCAAGGAGTTCCTACACAGCAAATAAAAAAGAAAAACTGTGTGCCAAATTTACTAGTACCCAGCATATAATATTCTCTATTTTAAATATTACAAATATATAATTATTATAGTCTTTCTGTGAACTCTCTTTCATAAATCACTGGACCTCAATTTGGCAAAGGAAACCAACCATTTCTCAAAATACATTCTACAGCAGGGATGGTGAAACTTTTAGAGCTTTCAACAATAAACAGCTGGCTGTGGCACAGGTTCACCACCACTATCCTATAGCTACGCAAAGATTCTCAATCCTTAAAACACCTACATCTACTCCCCCAAATTGTTGGTTTGAGTGCCATAGTTTGGCCAAATATGTACTGTACTAGAAAATAATATCATCAGAGATGAGAGGAAACCCAAATAAATTCATTTGATAATGATATACTTACTCAAAATTGGATTGTATACACCTAAAATTTTCTCTTTATGTTCATACTGCATTAAAAAATGTTTTAATAGGTGAAAACTAACACTCTTACACTATTCAAAGGGAATAATAATATGTTACATGACTATTTCCTGTCTATAGACATACACACATACAGAAATTGAAATGTCTGTTGACTCCTTAAAAAGTAGTCACTCGAGAAGCCAATGCTTACTTGATGTTTAAAATTCTTTTAAAATTTCCCTTTTATACTATCTAGTAAAATATGTTTACAGACTCTGTAAGTAAGTGAATTCTGGTAACTTTACTTCAATAAACAGAACTTTTAAAGTGCTTATCATTAAAGGACCAAAAACATACACTGGAGAAAAGATGCAGAAGGTTGAATCTAAACCCATATCTCTCACCATGTACCAATCTCAAAATGGATCAATGAATTAAATGTTAAAAACAAGATAAAATTGGAAGATAAAATAGGTAAAACTATTGAAGACATAAGCATAGGCAAAGACTTTCTGAACAGCTTTCCAATTGCACAAGAAATAACATCAGGAATCAATAAACGGATCATATCAAATTAAAAGGCTTCCACACAGCAAAGAAAAAACCAACAAAGTAAAGTGCTAACCTACAGAATAGGAAAAAAAAAAATCTGCCAGCAAGTCTACAGACAGAGGACTAAAATCTACAATATACTAAGAATTCAAAAAAAGTAGACCCTTCCCAAAAAAAATGACCCAATCAAAAAATGGGCAACTGAAATGAGTAGACCCTTATGTTCAACATCTCTGGCCATTAAACAAATGCAAATTAAAATTACATTGAGAGTCCATCTTACTCGAGAAGGAATGGCTATCATCGAGAAATCAAATAATAACAAATGCCCATGAGGTTGGAAGGAAAAAGGAACCCTTCTGCACTGTTGGCAGGAATGTATATTAATCCAATCACTATGGAGATCAGTATGAAGAGTCCTCAAAAAACTAAAACTAGAAACTCTCTTTGACCCAGCTATTCCCTGTCTAGGTATTTAACCAAAAGAGTTAAAAGAAACCACATTATAGTGATCCACACATACCCATGTTTATAGCAGCACAATAGCTGAATCTTGGAAGCAGCCTATAGAGCCATCAACAGACAAATGAATAAAGAAAATATGGCATTTATATGCAACACAGTACTACTCTGCCATAAGAAGGATAAACTTGAGTCATTTGCAGGAAAATGGATATAGCTTGAGACCATTAATGGTAAGTGAAACTAGACATACAAGCTTAAATATTGCGAGGTTTCTCTTACATGAGAAACCCGAAGTATAAGTAAAGAGCAAAACAAAATACGTAATAGGAAATACATCTTTTGCAAATGGGAGGTAGACGAAGGCATGGAAGGAGTGGAAAGAGAAAGGAAGGAAGAAGTTGAAAAAAGAATTGAGATGTGTGATGTACATGTACCAACTCCCTAGGTGGAATGCGATCATTGTGTACTACAAGTATGTACTAATAAAAATAAAATCCCAAGAAAAATCATAATATCATTATGTTTATCCATTCATTCACAAAACACAACTCTTTCCAAATATCAAGTTAATCTTCAAAGGATTCAGACTGACACTGCTGAGATAATCAGGAGCACCTAACATAGGCTCTTTAGCCACTCCCAAACAAGAAATGCAGAAATACTTAGCGCAACAAAGTAACATCAGATCGCATTTACTTAGGCTCTTAATAGCTCAACACTGACTAAGCATCCAGTACAGCAGGTAGTGGATACTATCTTAGGTGGACTAGGCCTTACTGAGATGCAGAAGCTCTGGTGTGCTTTTGCAAAAAGAAAAAGTCACACCCCATTTACAGCCTGCTAGAATTAGTTAGCCAATTGACTACCAATAAGCTCAAATAGTTTTAACAGTGGGTTACTGGGGCCAAGGCTTAAATTCTCATGTGGGAGAATTAGATCAGCTCTGTTTCAAGGCCAGATCACATGCCCTGCTGTAAATGTCTGCAACTGATCACAAACTGGTCAAGAGGGCAGCAATTAAGTCACCAAATCTACCACTCACATAAGAATACAACTCAAAGCACATGGCCTGCTAGCATCCATACTGTAATTCCCACTATTACACCATCTATCTCTGTTTTGCATATTCAAGAGTTTTAGATGAGATGTGGGTTATAATCACACATACCTCAAAATGATGATCAATCAACTCAAAATATTCCTGAAGGGGTATGAATCCAGAAAAAGAACAGGCAAAATCTTTGATTCCCTGTTTCTCAAAATACTCCTGAAGGCGGAGAATAAGCTCATTTGTTATGAGCCAAAGATCTTCAAACTGTTCACTCTGGATGCGATATCGCTCTAAGAAAAAATAATTAAGGAAAAATGCTTATTAACACAATAATACTAGCTGAAAATTATGTGAATTATCACTACATTTGAAATAAATTTGAAATTTAAAAGGTCAAAGGTTTCTTTTTTGTAATAGAGACAGTATTTCCACTAACATTATAAAAATACTTGCACGTGTTTGTTGTTTTCTACATCAAACCCAAGACACTTTCCAATCTAATCCCAAAGGCAGGCGATCACTCCATTTTACCCTGTATCTAATAATACCTACAACGAGGACATCCAAATCTGGGTTCTTTAAAAAACACTGCACTTAACAGGTAAGAAAATAGCCATTACAAAAGTATAGGGTTATTAACTTGGTTTTGTAATATTTAATGTGAAATAAAATTTACTCTATTGAAAGTCGCATATTTCAGGGACTGTAACCAGCATAAATTCCCATGATCATAATTGTAGTTTTCTATTTTCCTAATCATTCTTTGATCTGAATAGAGATCTCATACACAGACACTTCCCTAAATATAAATCCTGTTCTCCATTCCCTGAAACCTCTGCTCTGAGAGGACCTGATTCCCGTGTATTTCCTATAGTGAGGATGGTAACAGTGATGTTGCTGGCAAGGATGAGGACAATGTGGCAGTGATAACATCCAAGACAAGAGAAATCCAAGGGTTAGCCCGATCTGGTATCTAGCAGACACATCTCAACTTATCTATTGTCCCCCCAGCACTCCTCTCCAGGTGTCCCCTTTCTCAGGGGACCTGAGACTCCTCCTTCAGAGGCCTCTCAAGTGCCAATGAGAGTTGAGCTACAGGTTTGGACTTTTCTCTCTCCATTGGGATGATTGCTCCCATCTTCTCCAAATATGTCTTGATAGATTTATTAGGCCAAGAACAAGGTAATTCTAGCCTACATTCTGGGTTCCCCTATCCCCAATGTCCCCCGTGTCCAGGTTCTACCCTAACTTTCACAGAGCCAATATCTAACCAGGAATCCTCTAGATCCAATAAAAAAGCTTTGTGAAGTCAAATGTCAAAGTTAAGGGAGAGTCCCCCAGGCTGTTTTACTATTCCACCAATGAAAGCCAGCCTAGCTCTAGTCCAATACCTCCAGTGCTCAGCAGGTGAGGAATCTAGTTTTGGAACTTGTTCAAAACTCTTCCTTCAGACCCCAAAAAGAGAAAAGACTACTTCTATAAACAAAAGCCATTTGGCACCACTGTCCCTCTCTCCAGAAGGCTGGCTAAAAGATATCTTTTTGAGGGCTAGATTTCCGTCACTCTTGGGAGCCAAGATTTATTCTATCCAAATCCATCTATCCACCATGAGGATCAGGCCCTGGGCACACCTTCCTGGAAATACACATTAACCCAGAGGATGATTAATGTCCTCCTACCCTGAAGAGTGGAGATCTACAGAGAAAAAGAGAGTAACAAGAGATACAGGGTGGTGCTCTTATCTCCTAACCTACATCAGAGGAGTGGTTTACTATAGTAGCTCTCTCCCATTATTAAGATAAACATCAGGCTAATCCTTTTTAAACAGTCCCTCCTGGCACAGTATAAAAAATCCTTTTGGGTTTTTATCTCTCTGTCTAACTCTTATTGGTGTGGGCTTATTGGTGCGGAACTAGGAAAAGTTCTGACTAGTCTATTTATAGTTATAAATCTGTAAACTATAGTGGATTATTACAGCTCAACTGGGCTAATACATCAAAGAGTGCACTTGGATTGAAAAGTAATTGTTTTGTGTGTTCTGCATTTTCTGCTTCTTCATTTAAACTGAGTAAGTACCTAAAACTGCTTTGTTAAATCTTTCTGCGCTCATATCAATTCTGTTTTTTCTTTATTTTTGCCTTTGTAAACTTACGATTCTTTTGGGTCCTCTAAAAAAAATTAAAACTACCACTTTTCTAGGTTTTAGGGGAGAGACAAATTTTCCAAGATATTTAAAGGATGATGGCTAATGGGCCTGTAGTTTACCTGGGACTTACAAATAAAAAGTCCTAAAGTTTGATAACATGAAGGTTATATACGATTTAGACTAATACATATGCCTTTGTGTGTCAACTTTCAAATATATATTATTCTCCACAATTTCTACTTAGATTGGTTTATAAATAAATAAACACTCATGATATTAACCCAAATGATTTTGGGGGACTAATGTCACATAGCATAACAGTAGGTTAATTTAATTCAGTTGCTAAGAAGAAAAATGTCTTTAATGTTTCCATATTGGAATGTAATGTCTATTGTTTTTATAAGTACAATGTCTATTGTGGTCATACACAATAATT